AGCGTACCGTGGACCCGTCCTGAGGACCTGCCATGGGGCCCTTGGCAGGAGTCGGGAGAGATATGCAGAGGTCTGCTGATCTGTCAAACGCCAAGACCTATCACAAGGAGCTTAGTCCAGCCCCGGGGACGTTTACACGGCAATCCGACTGCAGCACGTGGACACACAGGTGAGGACGCTTCGACCTAGAAAGCCACAGCAGCGTCTTAGCTGCTTCTATCCATATCCCCGCTCCCAGGGCACCTGTGCAGCCCGTGCTGCCACAGCTTCACTTACTGGAACCAGCTAGCGCAAACCTCTCTCGGGCATGTCTGCACGTCAGCCCTCGGACTGGGGTAGACGGACACTCAGGCTGATGTGGCCCTAGGAGAGGCCTGCAATTTAAAGAGAAGCCAGCACCCAGATGCAGTTGGGGAGGAGAACTCCAGGGCATCTTCCGGAGGGAAGTTATGTCAAGCAACTTCACTGAATGAAGCCACTGGGGGCACTTGTACAGGAAAGAGTTAGCAGAGCCCATCTCCCGCTAGCCGAAAAGGAATGCACAGACGCGCTCGACGCAGGCCAGTTGCACCCTTGTTTAGAAGGTAACAGACGTTCCGACACCGTTTGAGATCTAGATGAGTATGAGAACAGAGGCCAGACGCGCACAAACACCAGGACAGCTGCAGTCACCAAAAAGACTGAAAAGCCCCATACCAGATGTGTGTCCCCTGGAGGTACTTACACTGTATGATAACGTCCCTCCTTGACCTTCTCTTTGGTGAACTAGTCAGACTGAGCTCCTTGACTCCATCCCTACGAGTCAGGTTTTCTAATCTTTTAACCATTTTTGTGGCTCTTCTCTGAACCTTTCCAATTCATCCCCATCCTTCCTGAACTGTGGACACCAGAACTGGACACAGAACTCCAGTTGAGGGCACACCAATTCCTCTCTCCTGCTAGTGTGAGAACGGCACACGGTCCTCTGTAAGCATGTGTGTGCGTGCGCACAGCATTCCAACCATAATCAATGCCCATCCTCAGACCGCCCCTCGGGTGCTCTTCCCACGTCCCTAGGCGTGCCGAGGGCTCCTATGGCCGCGTGGAGGTTACAAGCCAGAGGCAGGAGCCTATGCATGTGACAATTCACTGGCTCCAGAGCTCGGGGTTTCCTTGCGCAGACTCGGGAAAGGACACAGTGGTGTTTAAGCAGAACCTTTGGCCAGCAGGAGCTTTTGCAGGCATGAGAACTTAGGCAAAGCTTCCATCTCTTCTGATCAGTTCCAGCTCCCTGCCCCTGCCCCAGAATGCTGAGGTCTATTTGCAAGTTCAGCATTATGGACTTTTCCATTAGGGCGCCCTGTTCTCCCCACCATGCCGATGGGCCATTAGTCACACTGTGCCAAGCTGGGCTGTGTGTGTGCTGTCTGGGTGGGACAGGAGGTGCTCAGGCCATGCCAGCCAGCAGCACGGTACGAAGCAGTGCAGGAATGGCGCCCGAGGTGGGATGCATCTGGGAGAATTGTTGATCTGTGCGCTGGGGCCATTTCCTCCTTTGATTTATAACACCACAGCGTGCAGCCCCGAGGCTCTGAGCCAAGTGCCAATGCAGCCCCCTGCTGTGCATGCAGGTTGGGGGCACCCCACGGTGCACCGGTTACATTTGCGATAGGAGAGCTAGCACAGCTAAGAAGTTATCAAAGGACCCCGATCCTTACCGGATGTTTAGAGTGCAACCAACTTCCGAGACCAGTCAGGTTGGAGGGAGACACACCAATGACTCTCATGGCAATTAAGAAATGTGTCAGCTAGTCAGGGCCACAGACGGCTGGCTGCCTACAGCTCCCACCCTCCCTCCGGATGCAACAGTTTGAACACAGAGCAGTGGCTCTCAGACGCCTGCTGGCTCCTTTGCCCCTCTTCCTGCAGCCCACCGGAGAAGGGGCACGAGGGAGCACATTGCACGCCAGCTGTTTTCAGCTGGAGGATGATCCCCAGGGAGAGTTCAGAGTAGCTGCTCACTGCTCCCTCTCTCTGCAGCACCCACCACGAATCTGACACAACAGCCAACCTAGTCCAGCCAGAGTTTTCCCCATCCTCTCCGACCGGACTATTTGGATTTTCAGAATATTGTACAGGGGGTGTGCCTGCTCCCTGCCTCATCCCATTTCAGCTGCTCATCCCCCACCAGATAACCCTTCCGGCCAAGGAGAGCTGGACATAGCTTCCTCAGAAGCACGTCCCAGTGTAAACGGGCTCCCAGCGCTGTTAGCTACTCCCCTCATGGAGGGGGTTTACCTGGGGGGGGGGGACCCTCAGGCCCAGAGGCCGCATCCAGCCCCCGGCTTGCCTGGATCCAGCTCCCAAGACTCATGCCCCCCCCCAGCATTGGGGAGCCCCCACTGGCTCTTCAGCCCCTCACTACCCCACCACCGGGCTACTAGGCTGGGCCTCCCAGGCTCTGGTGTGCGAGGGGAATGTGGGGAGTGACTGTCTCCTTCTCAATTGGAGGCCACCTCAGTGAGGAGCTTTGGGGGGTTTTTTCTTCTCTCTTGTGTTAGGGTTAGGGTTAGGGTTAGGGTTTTTCTGATTTTTCTGTGGGTCAGTGGCCCCGACCCACCCCTGGTTTACACAGCTCTCCCAGTGCTCCTGCCGTGGCCACACCATGGCAGTGCTTTTAACTGTAGACGCGCAAACAAAGCCGGAGAGCGACCTGGTGCGGTCAAATCCTCTCAGCAAACAAAGGCACAATCCAGGATGGAGCAGAGGTCCCAGAGAACAAAGCAGGGTAGAAAACCTTTCCCAAGCATCCCGGGCCACTCTTCCCATCGGAGTGTGGTCTCCACACAGGAAAGCACAAGGAACTAAACCAATGCCTCATAAAAGACCCAGGTATACAAATAATGTCTTAAGTCCAGTTCCTTTCCTGCCCCTGCCTCAAAGCAAGAGCCCTGCAGCCTGCCACTTTTAACATGAAGGCGCAGCCTGCAGAGCATAACAGTTCCCACACTGAATGACTCAAGATGGAGAATTGCATGCTGGGACCTGTAGTCTCCGAGGTCAGCTACCCCATGGATGTTAGGGGTGGTCCTCAGGCAGCTGGCAAGATGCCCAAGTGCCGGTTTGGGTGCCCTGGCGTGCCAGGGAAAGGTGGGCAGGCAGAGGGGCTACAGATGGGAACAGCTGAATGGCAGACAGCTTTCCTCACCAAGGCCCAGAATGGGAAACTAAACTATCACCCACGGCTGGTCCAGGCAGCCATCTTGAGGCCTGGGCTTCATCTCGGAATAAGAGGCGGCTGCGCTGGAAGGCAAGGCTGTCTGGAAGGAATCAAGGCCAGCAGAGCCCATGTGCTGACATCAGAGACAGCTTCTCTCTCACCATGAAATCCAGTTCAAAAGCATCTTGGCAGATGCTCGGAAAGAGCACGGGGCTGCTGCAGCAGGGCCTGTGTGTCAATAAATCAGCTGTCTGTGGCAGGCAGACACACCCCGTGCGCCGCGCTGCTTGTGCCAAAGGCTACAAGGGCTCCTCGGCTGTCCCCGCGTCAGGGAAGCAAAGCGTTCCTTGCGAGAGGAATGCGAGGCTAAGCGGTGCGCCGGGGACGGAGGAAGGCGGGGGGAGGCTTGGGAGCATGCCTGGCCGCCGGGCAACTTCCTTCACCCCGTGTTCAGTGTGATTTGCAGGAAAAGCAGATCCACTCTTCTGTCATGCTCATAAGCTTCATCGCTGTCAGACTAACACAACAGGTAATTAACTACTAAACAGCCATTTTCTCCTCCTCTCCGGAGGGAAATTGCTCACCAGCCAGTTAGAAAAATGTTGCTGTAGCGGCTTCCAAAAGAGAAGGGAAAAAAAAGTCAGCCGTTTCTGGCACGCTGCACGGGAGCTGCAGCCAAACAGCAGCTTTTATGCCAGCACTTGTAACCTCCAACCCCGACACAAATGTGACCAACGGCTGAGAGCCAGCCTGGGGACCTAGAGACCGGTAAAATTACACCAAGGCTTATCGGGATCCCTTGCTGCTTTGTCCTGCAGCAGGCCAGGAATGGGGAAACCACACAGCAGCGAGCAACAACTTCAGTCCAGCCTCAGGGGCAGCACGGACGATCCAGTTTGACCTCTCGCTGTGCGACTCTCCCACACGGGAAACCCAGAGTCATTTGTCAATGCTCACGAGCCCCTTTGAGAGCCTCCGATGCACTGCAGAGAAGGGCAAAGGGGGGGTATTGATGGATCAGCTCAGCCATCCCTGGGGAAGGGATCTGGGCTTGGAAATGGGATACATTATCCATATGCTCCGTGTTCGTCTGGCGTCGGCCAGGGAGAGGGCGTGCCATGCAAAATATCAGTGCAACAACAACAGGGCCATCAGGACACATTGTGACAACGATGCCCCATTCTGTGCGTGTCAGCATCCTTTGTGCCTCATCAGCTTTAAAGTGCCATTTTCACAGGAGCCCTCTCCAGCTTCGCTAGCTGCAGGGCCTGGGAGCAGAGAAATGGCGCCAGATGCTTCTTATCCCAGACAAGCCCTGTACAGAGCACGAGAGCTTTCCAATTCTTCCT